TATATGATAGATTTTAGATTTTATTTGATCAAATGGTTATGAACATCCAAATCCAAATAGATCCTATGTAAATGCATCCAAAGCAACTAGAATCCTATTGAACTTTGTATTATGCAAATCCATCGCCACCTCTAGGCCTGACAAATAGCTTTGTCTTCAAAGCACCACATTGTATCTATATGATTGATCAGTACCAAATTTGGAATTCTTTGTTCTTCAAGGCATCTGTTTTGAAGCTTAACATAAATAAAGCCGAAAGTTGCATTTGGAAAAAATATAGAAAATCGACCTCATATACTAGTGGGAATGGTAAAATGATTTCAATGAATATTTTGTATGTTCCCTTTTTAATTATGAGCTTGTTTGGTTGAACACAAATCTTTGCCATGCTAATTTTAAGGCAAGCCAGAATGTGAGTATACCAATATTTTGGTAAGGCAGCCAAGGTTGATACTTGGTTTGCTATCAGCAAGAGAGAGAAATATTGTCTTGCCAAAAATTTGTAAGGAATTAACGATGTTTTGGCACCAAACCAATTGCGTGCCAAATCTTTTAAACTTGCTCACGTTTTGGTTTGGTAAAAAAATGGCTTGCAACCAAACAGACCATATTACTACTGTATGTCTCTTGATCCACCTAGATGTCTGAACCTGGCGGTTGGTGGATTAGAACTTCAGAAGCGGATGCACATACGGAGCTACGATAGCTAATCTCCTGGTGACGATGATGAAGAAGATTCTCTCGACACTACATAGATCGGGAGATTTGTGATGGTTTCAGTAGCATGCGAATTTTTGAACCATGCATAATCTAACAACCAAAACCTAGTGGCAACCTGCACGATGAAGTTTGGATGGCCAAGGATACTGAGCAGCTTGTTGTTATATTATGGGGGCAGAGGAGTGGACATGTGGGCAGCTGCCACATGTTCATCTTCTTCCGGCAGCAAAGTTCATGGCCAAGGATACACATTACAACTATGCAACTAATTAAGAGTCTCATATTTCTGCTAGAGAACAATAATTTGAGTGCCATCCAATTAACTCGTAAAATTTACAAGCGTGATATTGCCTAAACATAGGCAGAGCAGCTTCTACGGAGGAGTGTACCAAACACCGAGGAAGAACTATTTTACGTGAATAATAGAGGAACCAGAGCCATTTTTAGACCTGGAGGACAAGCAACAATTTGTGGTCTCTCTAAAGGAGCCATACCAAACAAGCTCTTAGGACACGTTTGGTTCCCTAGGCAAGTCTTACCTAAGGTCTTATGAAGAAAGTATAATGAATTTTGGTTTCCTGGCCTTGCTGGCTTGATTTCTGTGCAAGCCAGTTTTTCTTTGCTCAAGTGAGCTAGCCAAATTCCTCTTCTCAACGCAAGGTTAGGCTTGCTTGGTTGAGCAAGGTCAGGCAACACTAGCTCCACATCCAATTAACCCCTTAGTTTAGGCCTAACTTACTTTTTGTCACATCTAATAATATATAATATTTTGTTAGAGAATAGTTTTAGTTCTGCTTGGAGTGGATCTAACGGCGGGACGGATGGAACTTACTTTTGTCACATTTAACTAACAGTATAATTAATATATTAATTGTTAGAGAAAAAATAGTTCGAGTTCTATATAGGGGTGGATCTCATGGTAGGGCGGGTGAGACTCGAACCTACCCTACCGTGCCTCTCGCACAATAGAGTCTCCTTAAGACCCTCCATGTTTTTAGGAAGAAGGGAGAGGAAGTGAAGAAAAAGATATGATCCCCTTCTTGATTCTTAGGTTGTAATGGTCTTCGTTCGTCCCAATTATTTGATGGAACTAATAACCCAAATTGTACCAAAGTTTAAACCAAATTACATCTTTGGACATTTTTGTTAGAGAACAAGATTTAGCTCTACATTTACACCCACTTCATATCTATATAAGTGGTATTTGGATGCCACCAAATTATCTATAATTCATAATTTTTATATCGGAAATGCTTAATTAAGCACGTGCACGCTTTATGGCTGCCGCCCGCACGCCTTCCACCTCTCTCTTGTACATGACCCGTCCGCCCACCCACACACCTCTCCCTCGTCCACTATCCGTCCGTCCTCTCTCTCTCTGGCGATATGGCTGGCGTCCGGCGAGCACCTCCTCGGCGCCCTCCTCCCCGTGCCCACGCCCCATCTCTCCCCGCGCCCGCGTCGTACCACCTCCCACACGCGCGGCCATGGCAGATGCGGCGGCAGCGGCAGCGGCCGTGGACCCACCGGATCCGGCGGCATGTAGGCCTCTCCTCCTCCTCCTCCTCCTCTCTCTCTCTCTCTCTCTCTCCTCTCTTTCTAGGGTTCCGACGAGCTCTCACCTATCTTCCTCAACTCCAGTGGGCTATAAAATGGTCGGCCAGGGGGAGGCAGGTAGGGCAGGCGGCATGGATGGTCAATGGGCGGTTTAGGGGAGCTGGTGGTGGCAAGGGCGGTCGGGCTAGGTCGGGCGGGGAAGGCTCGTCGGAGCTGGAGAAGATGGCGGCGGTGGGGGAGAGGGGAAGAGGGTGGCCGCTGCGGGCGGCGGGGCGAGGGCGTCCGCGTCAGGGGTCTGTTTTTTTTTCCTATTTTGGCAACCAAAATAATTTCTTTGCCAAATTGGAGTGTGCAGCTAAAAATTGGATTTCCTGCACGCGCAAACAGCTAAAATCTGTGTTCTCAGCTGCAAATCGTATAGGAATATCTCTCAACTGCAAATCGTATAGGAATATCTTTCAGCAGATTTTTAGTTCATGTAACAGTACTTAGGCATAAAAAAGAACTGCAAGCAGCTGCAGCCACAGTGGCTTAAAGCTGCAGCAAACAGGCCATGCGTTTGGATAACCGTCATATTAGATGTTGGATGCTAATTAAAAGTATCATAGATTAATTATAAAACTAATTACTCTATCGAGGGCTAATTCGCAAGATGAATCTATTAAGCCTAATTAGTCTATGATTCAGCAATAAGTTGCTACAGTAAATATATGTTAATGATAGATTAATTAGGCTTAATAGATTCGTCTAACGAATTAGCCACGGTATCTGCGATAAAATTTATAATTAACTCACGTTCAGCCTCTTAATTAACATAGAACATCGGAAACTTTAGCGTAACACAAAGCAACTTTAAGCTGCAGCACTAGCCACAGAGCCAGGGATCACAGTTTTTAGATTCCGCCACCCCACCTGTCAATGATTAGTCACGTCCTCTGCGCCGCGCCACCCCCGCCGTGCCCAACGGAGCTCGGCCGCAGTCGCTGTGAGGTGGCCCCACCACCGCCCACCTCTCCCACACATATATAAGCCTCGCCGTCCTCCCGCACACGACTCCGCCAATATCGGCACACACACGCAGACGCAGCGCAGCAAACGAGATTTAAAAAAAAAAACAATGCAGCACCCAACGAAAACCCCCGAACCAGAGCGCGGCCGCGGCGCTTGCTTCATCCGAGCTCCGGCCACCTCGGCGCGGCGCGGCGCAATCAGGTGCGGTTCCGGCCACTCCCCAGCGCCTCGAGCCGCTACATTCCTCCCCGATAGATCGCGCGCTCGGCAAGGATCGGCCGTGGGGTTTGGTTCCGTACGTACGGCTCGCGGCGCATTTTTTTTAATCCTTTTCTATTTCGGCCAAATTTCTGGAACCTGTTCGTGTCTCGTTGCGGGGTGGGGGCGCGTGCGGGGGTTTAGCCCGTTCCGGTTTGTTGATGCGTGTGTGCTCGATGTGGGGTGGCGGCTGGGAACGCGGTTGGGTGGCCTGGCCTCGGTGATTGTGGTTTGGGTGGCTCATCAGTGTTTAGCGTTGTTGATAACGGGGGGGTTGTTAGGATTTAAAACCGAGGCCAAGGTTTTGGCTGTTGCGGGGTGCCGATTGCGGGGACTAGTTCGTTGCGTTGTCTAGCTGTTTAATCGCAGTCAATCGCGCTGGTTTTGGTGGGTTTCTGGTTGGTTGTCCGAGCGGTTTTTTTTTAAAAAAAAAAGAGAAATCCATGCAATTTTGGTGGGCAACTGTGCCTGCATGTGATTTATTTTTGTTTTTTCTGTTTCTTCGTTTCACGACTGGTTTTGTGGGTTGTGGACTTGTGGTAGATACAACTCAGGTAGATTTTCTGTATTTTTCCCTGCGGGCTGGACAAGATCTTTATTGGTACAAGAGCTGACCAAAAATTGCCTGCATGTGAGATATGTGTCCCTTGGGATGTGGCAGCACTTGTGTGCGGTTTCATTGTTTTGTTGTGGCATGGTAACATAGACAGCTTGCTGCTGTGTGATCGTCCTTGTTGAAGTGGTGATGTGGCTTCGGTGCCCGTGTTGTGACTAAGCCTAGACTTCAGATGTTCTTGTGCATCACATTTCGATCAGACATTTTTTGTGTGACGTGCTCCTCATGATTCGTAAGCTTGTATTGCAATTGTGGTCTGTTGATGGGGGTGGAATTGAGTCTTGGTTCTGGAAGGACGGTTATTTAGGTGGTGCATTGGGTATGCATTTGGTTCCTGTTGGAAGGCAGGGGATGAATTAGGCGACATGCCGTGTTTAGGAAATTTTATTTGAATGGTTTCCTCAGGGCTGTGTGCTTGTTCACAGATTGATAATTTTTGTGACTGATTATGATGTCCATGGCTCTATTTTGCGACAAGATTTAGTTTCAGTCCAAATTTTCGGTACTTCTGTTGCTACTCTGCATAACTTTCACGGTTTAATGAAATAAATATAACTTTCCTTGCTAAATAATGGACTAGTAGTGGTTTTGTTTGGTTACATGTTGGCATAAAATGGGTAATCCACATGTTGCTTGCACTTCAAAAAGAAAATGTTGCTAATGTTTTGAACCGGTCGATCTTTGAAACCACTGCTAGTTGTATGCTCTCTCCTTCAATTATGACTTAGAAACAAGTGTTATCTCATTGATATCATTGCATTTGCTTAACTGATGTGCTGCTTCCCATGCAACCAAAATTTCTGAAGCTCAAGCGCTTGAAGGAACCCACAATCTTGCAATGCAAGCAATTCAGCCAAACAGCCAGCCTGGGATCCAGCTTCGTAATCTCCCAGTAAAACAACTTGGAGGGGTGATCTTTGGTTGCAAGCCTGATACAATTGAAGAATGCTTCAAAAAACAGCTCTTTGGTTCGCAACCACCTTTATAATTTTTAATTCCACTATTGTGTTTTTACAGTATCCTGTTTAGTTGTGGCACTATTATTGGGCTTGGTTTATGAACTATTTGATTTCTCGGCTAATTAGACTGTTTTTTGTTTGTTTTGCTTTATAGGTCTGCCTTCAGTCCATTATTCATATGCGAAGAATGTCAAACCTGGCATGCCTTTGTTTCTATTCAATTATACTGACAGAAGACTCCATGGTATTTTTGAGGCTGCAAGTCTTGGTCAGATGTCTATTGATCCATATGCTTGGAGTAATGAGGACTCATTAACGACACCTTTTCCTGCTCAGGTATCAAACTTTTAACTGATTGTTTGGTGGAATAGTTTAAACAGTTAGGTTTTTCCCATTCCATTTGTCTCAAATGGCTGTTTCTACTTTTAAGGTTCGTATTTGCACAAGGACTCGGTATATACCAATGCTGGAGAGCCGATACAAAACAGTGCTTGGTGCTAACTATTATGATCGTCATCTATTCTACTTTGAGCTGGACCATACACAGACAAAAGCTTTAATTTCTTTGTTCAAATCACTTCCCCCTATTAATTTCAATCAAGTACCAGCTGCTTCAAGCAAAAGGAGTATTGCTGCGTCTTTACCACCAACTAAAAGGAAGGCACCAGTTCTTCCTGACCCAAAGAAAGTTAAAGCAAATTCAAAGGATATCAATCCATTTAGTGTTTTATCAAATGCAAGTGATGGTGTTCTCGAAAACTGGGTTGATCCTGATGTGGAAAATGCTAGCATCAATGAAAATTTACACAGTGATACTGATGAGAAGGAATTTGAGGAGCCAGTTTCTGATTGGGAGGATTTGGATGACAATGCTCTTCAATACCAGTTTAGTCCTCATTCAAATCCAGATGAGGTCAGTCAAAACTCCTCATACAAAACTGTTTGCCAAGGAATGGAGCTTGCTGAATGTATTGATCCAGTTGTCAATCCTGTGAATGAAGAAAAACACACCATGCTTGTACATAATGAGCATAAAGCTGCTGTGAGTATTGGCAAAATAGAGAGTGAAGTTAACAATATCCCGGGTGGTGTTGAGCTACAGCCTGAAAGACACGCTATCCTGAAAAAGCTGAAAGAATTGTTTTCCATACGACAGCAGGGGGCACTGTCTTCCCAGGATTGTGTTAATTCAAGCCCAGATCAATGTGTACCTGAAGAAACAAAGGTCAATGCAAACCTGTCCTGTGACCCATTTGATGCCACCGTGGAAGATAAAACCTCTTTTGAGGAACACCGTGGAGAATTTGCTGAGGTGATCTATGTTATTTATTCGGTTTGCCTTTTTTTAATCGACACACCGTGTCTAGCCCCCCTCTTACATTTTCTTTTTCATGGAACTGTAGTCCCCTTACATTTTTACTTTCCTCTGTAGCTTCGACAAATCATTGCTGATTTATCCAGGAGGGCTGAAGCATTGGAGAAAAAGCAGGTTTGCCATTTCTTCCTTGAACAATGGAAATGGAAAATTTGTTGGTGTCTTCTTTTGTTTGTTGGAAGTAGAAAATAAATGATTTTTTTGTTCCCAGAAGAAATAAACAATAAATAAATGACTTTGCTTTCCCTATCCTGCAATTTTATTCACTGGGCAATATTTACATTTTCTAATCATGTCGATAGTTGATATGACAAGTATACCAGTTTCTTTCACTGAGAATCACTAATGTTTTCTCTTGTATTTGTATGAACCATTTAGCTCATATCTACAGTGCCTATTTCTTGCATTTGTATGCTTCCTGTAGTTTTTCAAATCTGCTTGCCTTAGCAATCCTACCAGATGAATTTATGGTGGAAACTTTGTTGCACAAGATTTTCTAATATGTTTAAGTTATTTTCTCAGAAAGGGTCAGATCAAGATATACTTTTTTTGAGGGAAGTTGTTAAAGATTCAGGAAGAAAAGTACAGCAGCTGGAATATCTTGTAGATGAGTTACAATTTCGATTTGACTCTTCATTGCCTCTTCTTGGAAGCACGCGCAAGACTTTAACCAAGCCATCGATATTCCTGATAGGTGGTTACAATGGCGTGACCTGGTTACCATCTCTTGATTCCTTTTCTCCTGAGAAAGACACACTGGTGGGTCTCGCACCAATGAGTGTCGCCCGCTCATATGCATCTGCTGCTGCATTGGATGGTCACATATTTGCTTTTGGTGGTGGAGGTGGCAAGTCACCATGGTATAACACAGGTATGACATGGTATTTATAATATTACTTCTGCATGACCTTTTCATTTTTTGTGGCATGTATTTACTTCTATCTGGTTGTTTTCTTTTGATAGTGGAATGCTATAGTTCAAGGAATAACGAGTGGATAGAATGCCCCTCATTGAACTGCAAGAAAGGAAGTCTTGCTGGTATCAGTCTTAATAGCAAAATATATGCTATTGGTGGAGGAGATGGAAATGAAACTTTTTCAGAAGTTGAGATGTTTGATCCATATCTTGGGAAATGGATATGTGGTCCATCTATGCTGATCTCTGTATGATCTCATCCTCTCTTTGCTTATAATATTTACCTAGCTTGATGTCTTCTAGGCTCTAGCCCATTACAACGTAGTGCTTGGACCTTGAGTCAGCTATGTTTGTTTCCTGATTAACTTGGTTCCCTTAAGCAATAAGAGCACATAAAGGGAATAGCTTTATTTTTGTGTAAAGATACATAAGATCAGTTATGATGTGTAATTTTTCTCAATTTTTGTATATACTTGCAGCAGCATATGGTGTTCATCCTCTGTGTAAAGAATTCTGCTTCATATAATAATTCATCTGATCATCGCATCATTGTTTGCATAGGTTGCCTAGATTTTTGTTTATAATTGAGCTACAGTACTACAGCTACTTACTCTTGTATCTTCACAATAATTTCTTACATCAGTTGTACTTATTAGAGTATCTCAAAGAGTTTAATAGTCTTGACACCAATATGCTAACTTTTTCACAATATATGTTGCAGCGATTTGCTCTTGCCGCAGCTGAATTGAATGGCACCATCTACGCAACTGGTGGATATGATGGAAGCACGTACTTACAGTAAGGCCTCCTTAACGCTTCCCTTCATGTTGTTACATGATATACAGTCACATAAGACATCAGAACTAAACTTAAGAAACACATTGTTGCATGCAGATCAGCAGAACGGTATGACCAAAGGGAGGGTGTCTGGGTCCGTCTTCCAAGTATGAACACAAACAGGGGATGCCATGCCCTAACTGTCCTGGGAGAAAGCCTGTCAGTAACTTGCTCTTATGCTTCTTCTTTCTGACAGAATTAAGCTCATCTTGGTATTGAATCCTGGCAATTAACTTATCTAGCGGTTTGCCTTGTGTTTCAGATACGCAATGGGAGGATACAATGGGGACAACATGGTTTCTAGCGTTGAGATCTTCGACCCTCGCCTCAATGCCTGGAGGATGGGAGATCCCTTGAGCGCCCCAAGAGGATACGCCGCTGCAGTTACTCTGGATGGAAGCGCGTACTTAATCGGTGGCCTGAAGTCCAATGTGCAGATCCTGGATACCGTACGTAACTGTTGGCTCCTCCTGACAGTTACTCCTGACAATTTTACCTAGTATATAGATGTTGCCTGGCAAACCTGTGCTCTTTCCTGAAGATGGCTCTTCTCTTCTGTCACAGGTGGAGGTTTACAACGCGAGCTCCGGCTGGTCAGTTCTTGGTTTCAGTTCACTCGGGAAGAGGACCTTTGCATCTGCCGTGGCCATGTAGTTACTGACCAGGAGGTTAACTAGTGTTGATAACATCAGGTTTAACATAGTTGCTGGCCTTCGCAAGGAATAGTTAGGGTGTAATGGGTGGGGCTAGACGCGTAGACCACCCTTCCGATGTGTAATGTGTTGGGATCTTCATCAGGCTAAATCATCCGAATGGTCTGGGAGACTGGGTACGTGGCCCGTAGATTGACCTTTGAACCCTCGCTGACAGTCTTGAGAACCCATGCATGCATTCACGGAGTTTAATGGGACCAGATTGAGTGATGGCATGCAGTTTGTTGTTTCTTTTGCCCTTTTTTTTTTCATTTGGTGGGTCAGTGGGTGGTGGGGTTATATTCAGGGCAGACTTGACAGCACTGAAGACGGTGGCTGAGCAGTTGCATGTTACAGAAGGTTGCGCTGTACCTTATCCCTGCTTGTGCTGAAACTCGGACTCCAGCACAGCAGCTACTGAAAGTGAAACCCAAGCAGGCACATGCAACTGCTCTCTGCTCAGCATGATCTGGGGTTACATCATAGCTAGCTCGAGTGTGGTCACTGTGCGAGGTCATTCTGTTGGCCATGCGTCCAGCATGATGCTTATTTCAAGGACCATCAGCCTGTTCGTTTGGCTGTGGCTCGTCGTAAACGATCGTAAATTTCTAGCCGGAATAGTATTTTTCTCTCACACAAACCAGCCAGCAATACTTTTTCATGAACCAGCAACGATACGAACCAGCCAACTGAACAGGCTGCATGGCCGTGTCGTGTCAGGTGTCCGTTACACGGATGCTAATTTTCTGTAGCTGTGCGGACATAATCAACCTGTTCGCTGGTTGGTTTCTGGGCTGATAAGCCCGATTGGTGCTGGTTTGTTGTGAGAGAAAAATACTGTATCATGATTGATAAGTCCTGCCTGAAATCAACAAGTGAACATGCTGAATGAAACATCATGCGATGTGTCGCAAGCTCGGCACGTGCTGACATGGCGACGATGTAACCGGTAGCCGGTACAGTACATGTGCGCCATGTTTGTGAGTTCTGACGATGGTTGCTATGTTATGTATGGCAATTGGTATTGGGCACAGCTTGGTTGTGCGGGCTACAGCATCGCCCGTTTCCCCATCGCGCTGCCGGGCCAGGCCTCATCATTCTGTAATCTGTAGTATCTGTTCTGCGGAAACTCGCCGCACAAGCACAAGTGTGAACCGCAGGCTGTGTACACGGTAGTATGAACTATTGAGTCCTGTGTACACAACTAAAATTACATTTTATATAAGTTTAGCATCAAAGATCAGATTAGCGCAGCGGAAGCGTGTGTTATCTCTTTTTTTTGTTTATATATATTTTCATCTATGTTTGTTATTCAGTTCCTCGATCTAAACTTTTCTCTTTTAGTATAAAAATCATCTCCGTCTTCTTTTACAGTTTTTTTAAATGATTTTTTAACGGTCTTCACTTCTTCGACCTAAACTCTATAAGCACTTGCCAGATTGTTTTGTGCAGCAGTCGCATGGTCTCCCAAACGAACTCCTCTCTTGATCATACTCCCACTCCCAGCAAACCTTACTATCATACTCCCACTCCACTACTCCAGGCATGTTGGAGCCTCAGAGGCTTATATTTGATCAAACAAATGGCAAGCTGTGGATTTCTGCGGACAAGCGGGACTGATCTATGCCTATTGCAAAGCCACGATATTGCGTTTCTGAAGCTTCTTAAAAGAACAGCTTGGTAACCCCTCTTAAAACAAAAGGACACGACGAGAATTGAGATGAGGGTAATGCTAATGTACGTCTCTTGCTGCTGCCATGATCATCCGATCCACATGGTCTCATACGTCGTTGTACTAGCTTGATGTACATGCCGATCGCCCGCGTCGTACTGAAAACTCCCCGTTGTTATGAATTAGAAAGAAAAAAACCCTGAACAGTAGAGCCAGCAGCCAAACCAGCTGAATTCTCTCCATGGTCACGTAATAATACGTTACACGAACAAACATGTCCATATGTACAACTTATTTCATGTTCACCTGGATTCATCGTCGCTAAAGATTAGAAGCTAACTATATCTTTTGAATTTAATTAGACTTGGCCTAATCTGATTTTCAATTAAAACAATATAATTGCAAGATTTCATAATAAATGTTTGGTGCGGTAAAGAAATGTTCTCACATAGAAGAAGAGGGTGAAGCACAGTGGATCGACCGAGGGATGGAGGAAGCTAGACATCACGAACGATAAATCAAGAAAAATTATCTTACTTTAATATTAACTAGAATGTTGTACATGCAATAACAAGAACATGAACATTAGTTATAAAAATTATATAGATGTCATTAAGAAACAATACAAAGAAGAGAGTAGACACAAATAAAACACTAATTAATAATTATCATTAATTATTATCTAAATGAGGAGAGTTATACAGTGGACCTTCTAGGAGGTTGGGGGAGGGGGGCACGTGCCTCCTCCCCTCCGCCACCGATGCTATCTTAAAGGATCGGTCTACTTCTGCTTAGAGGATTAGGGGGGCCTCCTCAGTCACTGATGCTATCTTAGAGGATATATATGACGAGTGGTAGAGTTCACCGTCTGCGTGGGCGTTGAGGGCGTTGATGAGGACACCCACGTCAAGCGTTGAATAGCAACTTGGCCACCGATGAGGAGGAGCTAGCTATGTGCATGCTGATCGATCGATTGAGAGCAAATTAATCACCACATACTCCTATATAGTGGTGAAGTGCATATATAGTGAAATTATAGACTTTATCTTTAACCATAGTGGGTGCATATATAGTGAAATTTTAGACTTCATCACTGAATTTGTATTTTTGAGGGGGCTGCATATGCACCCACAGCTACGTGTATAACATATGTAGCTTCACCCCTGCTCCTATATATGAGACCGTTCATTCTCATGAGTATGTGCAACTACGACCGATCACTCACACGTTCATTTTCATGAGTATGTGTGTCGGGGTTATAACCCCGGGGGGGTCTTAGGGCACCGATTAGCTAGCAGGTCGAGCGGCTCATAACACATCAGTTAGCGAAGGCCCGAACGACCGAGACCTAGCTAATCCAAGCGAACCAGGCCGGATGCTAAGACCGGGGTCAGCCATGACCCCTCCTTCGCGCCTTAGTTACACGGCACTGGAAAGGCACACGACCTCTCCCCCATCACGACCCCTGGAAGGAACGAAGAGAGGTCGTGCCCAGCCAAGCGTGCCTGCTCTGACAGGAACGAGCACGCCGCACTGGCCCCGCAAGGACTGAGGGGACAGCAGTCACCTCGGTCCGATCAGACGCCATCCTTGTGCCACGCCGCATAGACAAGACAATACCGCTCAAAGCGGCGACGACAGGTACGATGACCACCGGCCAGATACAACCCGACGAGACAAGAGTATGATCCTGCCCACTACGGGATAGGATCCACGACGGGGCCTCGACTCAGAGGCCATCCAGGCTGGCGGGAACCATGATCCCAAGGATGGGGATCATGGCCCCCCGCTCCTCAAAACAATAAGGCAACCAACGACCCAGGGTCGGCCACCAACTCCTGTACGACGCCCTAGGAAACCAGGAGACGATGACGAAGACCACTGTGGAAACCACGTCGCATAGGACGGCTGGCGAACTATCATCGTGCCTACAGTGCCGCCATGGCCGGCATAGTAGCACCACGCCATGATGTATCCGCAAGACCATGACGATAGCCACGCCTAGACACACCTCGCAAGACGGCATAGCTTGCAAGCCAAGTTAGCTAGGACCTCCCTCAGGCTCATGACCCTTCGGTCGGGAGAACCTATTGCTTTGTATGTGCCCTGGCCCTGAACTCTATATAAGGGCAGCCAGGGCACCCTTTCGAGACATTCTGAGTCCCCTACTCGTTCACTCATTCTCCATCGTAGTAGGGTTCTTGAAGCTTCCCTTCAGGCTGTCCGTCTCCTAGCTTAGGTCCTTCTACCTCTTCCACCCCCATTGTAAGAACTTCAGAGCATTCAAGCGAGGAACACGCACTTGATCATCTCTGAGACTAGACATTGGGCTCCGGTCTGAACCAGTATAAATCCTCATGCTTTTTCGATGCTACCATCGTCTTCCTAGAATAGCACAACAATCGTATAAGTTACTAGTCCGATTTACGAAACACCGATAGTTGGTGCGCTAGGTAGGGGATAGTCGCGCACTCTCGTTGTTGAGAAGGAAGCGATGGCTCCCTGCACTTACGTCGGACTTGCTCTTGGCATGGCCCTCGACGGCCGCATCCACTTTGGAAAGCCTCGAGTTCACCGACACCGACAGGCCAGCTCCCGTTGATGGTCTTCTCCCCGACCAAGCCCTGCGCTTCGGGGACCTTCACTTGATGGCTGACCGCCTAGGTCTGATGCGGCTCAACGAAGAGAATGCGGCTCCGCAGCACATCTCGACGCCTGATCACGGATCGGCCTAAGCCGGTCCTACGATCGTCGACTCTGATGCGCTACCATGTAGGATTGACGCTTATCTTGAGGCGAATCTCGGGCCAGAGCTAAGCTGACGCATTTTCTACGTGTTGGCGAACGCTTTCGCCCAACTCTCCGGAAGTGGTCCCCTGCCGCCAGAGGCCAAATTCTAGAATCCCAGCACTGCACTACCCTATGAAATGAGGGACGCGATTGCACTCTTTGAATGGGAGCTCGCCAGGCACAATGGTCGTTCGATGATGCCAGAATCCTTCAGGTTTGTGGGGATGATGGAGCGGGATTCAGAGTCCCTCTATGACCTCCTGCTAGCAACCCCTGAGAACACGGACTCTAAGTTCGATTATGAGGGGAACTGTCGTCCGCTAAGGGAATGCAACATGTTGCACCGCTCGGAGGATGGGGTGGCGCCAGCAAAGGATGAAGAGGATGATGCCTACCCAATTCCACGCACCCCCGAAAAACAGGCCGAGTATGACCAGGAATGCCTGGAATGAGCCAGGGCCCATGAAGTTGATCAGGCTAATAAATGCCACGACGACGGG